ATATTGTATTGACGGGATAAAGTCAACGCATGAACATGCACATTAAAGTCGCCTTGCGTCTCACATTTTAAAAAGTTGTTCCTAAATTTTTCGGGTCACCGTGGATTTGATGGACGCTGAATCTTTTCAAAAGACTGACATGAATGACCTACGAGGTGCAATGCGAATCTCATAAAGGTAGTTGTAGTAATAAAATTTTTTATATACAGATTAAATTACCCTATATCACTACCGTTAATACTTATAACAAGAACCAGTCTTCTCGCTGGAACATTTCACGTAATGATTCTCACAGACAGAAAGTCCCAATACCTTAAATCTGCAACAATCCTCAGCGTTGTGGCATGGCAAAGTTCTTGGATCCCAATCCAGCTTCTTCAATAAGAACAAACCACCCATGGTTCGCACCCTTGAAAACACCACGTAAGCCCAGGTTTGACAGTATCGCCATGAGTGTACCAATAACCACACTTCAGTATATCCCTTTAATTTGTGTCCAGTTTTCGCAGAATTGCTGATAATCCGGAACTGCTTACCCTTCATCTTGGTGTGTACAACTTCCCCGTCATAAAACCATCTGGGACTGAAAGTGTAGTCTTGCTCTGTTACATAAAAAGTACGTTGCATAATAGTCTCCATTTTATGTTCCACAAGGATAGAATTGACTTGACCTGAGAAAAAAGCCCGAATCTTGCAGCCGTTGTCGAGTTGAATAACAATGGGGGTGCAACCATCCATCACATTCACCTTTCTAACAAAAAGCCGAAATCCATTGGCTTCCCCATTCGGAACATTCTTGTTCTCTGTAAACATTAAAGGAAAACTAGTCGAATACGTAGACTTCTACAGGGCCTTCTAAGTAATGCGCGCCGGGTATAATTCAAACCTCTGCCCCCATCGGTACCATTACCCCTAAAGCAAATCGTCTCCAGGAGACGAAATTATCTCAAGAGCCGGCATAGACCTGCGACAAGCCAGCATAGGCACCTGGAACCAGGATTAGAACGGCCTGTTGAAGTTGCCAATCTGATTTTTACGAGCCTGTTGGAGATCTCCAACAGGCTCGTAAAAATCAGACGGCAGTTGTAAAGTTCAGCTTGCAGTTTCAGAAACGGGTATGGTTGCTTTCGCTAAAAGAAATTTACCGTGACTGAAAAAGGGTCGAGTTGAGTGAGTCAGAGAGAGTCGGGACCACTTGAACTGGGGGCACTCTCACGGTCGAGGACTAGTCTACCGTACGGATACTAGTACGTCCAAGGGCAGCGCACCTACCGGTACGAGCCACGTTCTGCATGGCAATTGTGAGGATTTGAAACTATGCATAGGTAGCATGGAAGCAGCTTTTCTACACGCATCGGTATGACATAATATTAGTCTACCTGCATATCTTCTATTTCGTCTGAGTCCACGGCATCGTCATCTATTTCTTCCTCCTCCCATCCTGGCAATACAATGCCTTGCCTTTTCAGATTCTTCCGGAGTTTTTCATCGGCGCGGTATTCAAGGGTGTAAAGATACTTTTTTGTGCGAGTCTCTTGCCTAATCTTCCACCTAAAGTCATCCTTTCTTGAGAAGGCTTCTTTGTATTCTGGTCTTGTCTCCCAAAGCTCAGACGGCCGCATCGTCTCATGCTTTCCTTCCGCCATGTCCTGCTGCAACAGTTTCTGTGCCAAGGATCCATTCCATTGAGGCTCACCACGGTAATTCAGCATAGGCACTGGATGATTTTTCATTGCTTTTTCCAGAGCATTCCTATCATTTGTGGCCCTCCCTTGATCTCTCTTGACAATTGCTCTCAAACCACTTAGACGAGTAGCAAAAGTGTCATTGAACTTCATTCCCTCTATTTTAAACTCAACTGTGTCGTGATAGGCACACCAGACTTGAGCTGGTCCCATCTCTTTTGTATCAAGAGGTATCCTGCCTTCTGCAATTTCCTTGTAGAGGAGAATCCTGGCTGGATGATCTTGATCCCATATCAGTGTTTTCTTCTTTCCTCCCTGCTCTTGGTCTTCTGCTACTTGCTCCCTCAACTTCTTTAAACGTCGCTTAAATATGCTGTCAAAACGCATACCCTCCATTTGAAATTCAATGGTGTCAACATAGGCACACCACACTTCAGCTGATCCCATCTCCTCTTCATCAAATGGGATCCTGCCTTCTGCAATTTCCTTATAGAGGAGAATCCTGGCTGGATGATCTTTATCCCATCTAAGGCTTCCATTCTTATTCTGCTTTGGAGGCATGGCTCTGATCTGTTGCTGAGCTGAGTTTGTGAACGCAGACGCACTCGAGCAACACAGCGCATGTCCTGAATTTAATCAACGCATGCAAGGCGGTGTGTTCTTGCTTCGAACTTCGAATTATTGCGTACCCACTTGTTGGTCACGGTCCGGTCCCACTTGTATTTCCCGTCACAATTTCTGTGCCACGACAGCTGCCACGACCTAAAACACAATCGCCGACAATTCGTCATTCGCCGATCGGTTCGTGCCGCACAACCTCATTTATCCGATCGAAAGCCTCACAATGCCCGTTGCTCTTCATATCAAAACACAGCTTGCAAAGGACATCCAAAAGTCTGGTGGTATCCAAGCTTTAGGGCAGAGACTTGAGGAACTCCTCAATCGCAGAGAAAATCTTTACGGGCAAAGAGGCAGCGCACAACGTCGACAAATTCAAAACTTGGTCCAATATTGGAAGAAATTGTCTCCAGACAAGTACTGTGAAGTGGTTGTGATCCCCCTTGTCCTTACTGATACACCTACCTGTACAGAATCTGGTCTCCACGACAAACCACAGCAGCCATCACCACTGCAACGAAAACAAAAACAACAACAACAACAACAACAACAACAAAAACAAAAACCACACCCACAACCGCAGCCGCAGCCGCAACCACAGCCTCCTCAACCACAACCTATCCCTACCAGGACCACAACCACCAAGCCCACATCCAAGTCCACACAAAAAAACACCAGCATGAAGACCAAGAATGAGCTAGGCAAGATCCTTGTGGTCCAGCCTAAGATTGGTCTGTATTTCTGCATTGCCTGGGTCGACAGCAAGCTGTCAAACCTTGAGATTTGCATTAGTGATGATAGGCACTCGGTTATTCTACGCTCTAAAAAACCCAAGCCAAAAAGTGCCAGTGCACTGCTATCCCAGTATGGTTGGGCAGCTGATTCTGAAAATGTTGTTGTGTCTGCTGTGAATGATGAGCTCAAGAGGCTCATGCCAGATGGCAAGGACTGTACGGATGATTGGAAAGAGAAACCAATTCTTACATTGGATGAAGAGGTTATTCCCCATTTTGTTGACTACAAAGGCAACCCAACTCAGGAGAATGAGGTTTTATATGAGTGTGATGAGGAAGGTCGCCAGATGATTACTTTCTTCCTGAAGTCAGTGGACTCTCATCGTCTTTCCAGCAAAGGGATGTTTGTCAAGAAGGGTCGACGTGGTGCCAACCCTGAGGGTATGGATATTGGTTCTGATGGTTCTTACTGTGAAGAAACGGTAGACTCATTGAAGGCTGAAGTTGACAACAAATTGGACAAACTTTCTGACATGATGATGAAATTCATGCAAGTGTCCACGCACCAACAAAGCCAATTTTTTGCGCAGGTCCAGCAGCAACAGCAGCCACCGGCACCACAACAGCAACCATCCAATCACCAGTTCAATCAGCAGCTACCATTCCAGCAACAGGCATTCCACCACCAGCAGCAGCAATTCCAGCAGCAGCAGCAGCAGCAGCAGCAATTCCAGCAACAGCAGCAGCAGCAATTCAATCAACAGCAACAGCAGCAGCAGCTCTACCAGCAGCAGCAAGAGAAGGAGGCGGTAAGTGGTCTGTTTGGCATGAAATATGCCAACGCACAGCCAGATGGAGCCCGTTCAGGGCCAGTTCTTGAGTATTCATTTGAGGATGATAATGAAGTGGCCCTTGGAGACTATTGACTAGAGGATGACATGCCCCTTATGATGGAGCTTGGAAGAGAAATCGAAAACTGTTTGAAGAAGTTGGATGCCCATTCATATTATAGTTAGCACTGTGCAGTGATTTTGTCAAAAGAATCCTATTTAGAAAGAGTAGTAGTAAAAGTCTTTAATAAAAACGGTACGACCGCACGTTTGTTCCTGTCTTCAAAACTTGAGCGTTTGGCGCTGTTAGAGGGAAAGGAGGAGCCTGGATTTTGCCGCCAATCAATCTTAATATTAGGGGCATGAGTCACGAATAGATTCGTCATTCAGGATTCGATTCGATTCATTCGATTTGATCAATCGATCTACTGGTATTGTTTCGAACAGAATCGAATCCAATCGAATCTGAATCTATCCATAATCGCACCTCTGCAGCCTGCCTGCCTGCCTCGACAGTCAGACATGCATGCTCTTGCAAGTTAAGGCTAGAGCTCCATTGCTCTCAAGTTAGCAAGGCTGTTTAAAATTGATTTCACCCGAATCGAGTCAGTTGATTTACTTCATCTCGAAATCTGTCAGGTTGATCCACATCGCTCACCTGTTTCGGTTCGGTAACTTCCATGCGTCCACGGAAATAAATATCCCCGATCTGCCTCATCGAAACCATGCTCATCTTTTAAGGCTAAACGCACACCAGGCGGTCGATTGCCCTCCACGAAAAGCTGGTGCACGGTACGATTACCGTCGGTAGCTATTAGCTCATAAAATACTTGCAGTCAGCATTTGTTCTCCTCCAAATGTCGAACCGCAACCCCCTCAAAAGAGGGAGCAACGACAGTCGCAGAGCTAACAATGGCAGAAATGGCCATGGGCAACAAGGCAAACAGGCTCTAGCCCGTCGCCCCACCAAAGTGAAGGTACCAGCCCCCGATCCCTTGTGGATGGCCTGTTATGGGCTTCATGACAAATATCAACGCTGTCATGGCTCAACTCAACCACCTAACTGGGCTGATTTGCATCTTCATACCATCAGCATGCCAGCTCTCATTGCTGATTATACGGAAGAAGAATGCATGCTTCCAATGCCTTCATCCCATTACCAGGAACTTTATCAATTGCTCTCTGATAAAGAAGAATGGAACTGGAAGTTCCTAAGGATCAAAATGAATGATCCAGGCACATCAGAAGGCAAGTTGATTGGGACGATGCTACATCAAACCAGAAAGACCTATGATAAAGTTTGCGATGAGAATTGGAAGAATCGATCCATGATTGAAGTGCACCAACACCAGCATGTCAAGTTGGTTAAAAGTTCTCTTTGGAGTGGTGACTTTGGTCTTGCAACCAACAATACTCGCATTGTTGCGGTTCTATTTTCCCACCTCCCCAAACCAGAGATCATTCAAAAAGTCAAAACAACGATAAAACGAATGATAAATTCCAAACGATCTGCGGAGCATTTTATCGAGAACTTGATTGAGGAGACACGGCAGGAGATGGGCATTGAGATGCTGAAAAAACTCTCCTTTTCTCGTGAAGGCCGCTGGTTCAAGGATCCAGAAAGACGTATGAAGACAGTTGTGGATGTGGTGGCTCATCTTACAAAGAAAGACTACAAGAACCCTCGTCATGCATTGGACCGCCTTGTCCAATGGCACAAGGATATCCCTGCAAACAACCGGGCACGACTTGAAACCTATAAGTGGGTCCTAGATCTTGTGATGCCCGAGACTCCAAAGGAAGCTGAGGTTCGCCTGGACAAGGAGCGCATAGCCAAGAAGAAGGCAGAGGCAGCCAAGAAGAAAGCTGAAAAGGTGGCACAGGCAGCACAAGGTGGAAAACGCAAGCGTGGTGATCACGACATGGCAGAGTCGGAAGAAGTGGAGTCTGATACAGCTAAAAGGGCTGCAAACAATGACTCCCAGGGTGAAGATGCCACGGCCAATGCTACCACAATCACAACAACAACTACCACTGTGGTAACTCGTCCAGTTGGCACCCCAACCATCGCAGCTCCAGCCAAACCCACACAGCCACGGCCCACAGCTGCTGCACTGGCCGCTGCTGCCCCCCCGGAGCCTGCGGCTGAAGCTGACCCAGACGAACCACAACCAAAGACGTATGTGGACTTTGCCAAAATCGATATTGTTGATCTCACCGCCGAAGAAGACCAGATTACTGCTACTACCAAAAAGCATGCAGATGCCATATTGCAACGATCTCCCTTTGCAGGACCCAATCCCAAAAAAACAGGTTCTACAACCTATCTCAAACCTGCTGATGATGCTTGGATTGCGGCCCATGTGTACAAGTTTCAATTGGCTAATCATCTGGCAACTGACTTGGCTGTGAAATATGGCCTCCAAGCAGGCAAAAGGATGAAAAAGGATTTGAGGGTTAAGCGTGCCGCAGCAGCTACCCGGAAGCTTGGGTTTCTCGGTAAACGGGAACGAGGAGACCCCCCTTTGAAAATCGAACATATCAACAACAGCGTCAGCATGTGGTTGCATGAGTTGCAGCAACCTTCCTTTGTGCCAACCATGGTGTTTTTGGAGTCGGTGCTAGGACAGAACTGTGTGGGAGTAGAGGCACTAAGGCTGAACTACAAAAAGGCACTCTCTGCTATCCAAAACCGCGGATATGATGACGAGGCCAAGAAGGTCCTTCAATTGATTATCGAGGAAGTGACAGGGCAGACACAAAAGGCATAGAGAGCTAGGACAGTACACAGCAACAGCAAACACTAGCTAGCGGAGAATTCTCAATAAACAAACTAATACTATTATTACTCATCATCTAGACTAATCCCAGCAAGCAGATCAAAAAGTGGCTCGCCATGTTCCAATCGGTATTGGCAAACCACACCGGTGGCCTCAAAGCACACCCCGAACTTCTCCATGCCATGGCGGAATTGGTGAAACAGGCAGCCAAACTCTTTCAACATGCCATTGAATTGTTCGTGGCGCATCTGGACTCTGCTCTTGAATGACTTGACAGCAGGACAGTCAAAAGCATTGAAGGTGCTGCATTCGTTGGAGTGTCCATTGTAGATCTTGTCGCCTAAAGCCTTCTTTCCAATGTCATTAAGCTTCTCCTTCAGGCCACCCTGGACAAAATTCCCATTGTCATTGGATCCAGCACGGAAGGGGCCATTCATCCAAATCAACCGGCTCTCAAAGAGGTCGATACCCAATTCATAGCACAAACCAGCATGCTTCTTCTTGTGGGAAAAGTATTCACGATCTTGGGAGAATAAAGGGTGGATTGGTTCATCGATAATGCAATGAGTTCCATCCACACTCATGATCCATACATCATCATCTGGGTACTGCGCTGGGAACACAATCTTGTCCGCCTTTAAGGCTCTAATCTTCTCAAGATAGTACCAAGTCCACTTCCTGATTGTCTTCTTTGATCTATCGTAGCGTGCTTCTCTCTCGGATTCAGTGTGGTAGCGGTAAAGGAAGTGAAGTGACTCCAACAGATGAGTAATGGAAAGCATCTTGGGGTTGTCTATGCGTGCCTCAGCCACAGTAGTGGTTTGAAGATCCTCCCAAATGTTTGCAACAACTACTGGTGGGGCTCCGTAGTGATCTTTGAAACGCTGGATGTTAGTATTGGATTTGCGGGGATCTCCTTTTACTCTATTGATTCTACTCTCAGCGTACATTAACTTGAGTCCATGCATGAGAATTTGATCGGCCAAATCATTGGTGTCATTCATTTTGGCAGATCTCTCGAGGTTAATTTATTTGTTGCGTCGAATTGAGCTGTAGATGGAGCACGGATCGAGAAGATCCAGCACTGCACTCCCACGAGTGACAGTCATGGAACCAAGACCGAACCAATGGGATCCAACAAACGGAACAACCACGAAACCGGCATGGCACATGGCACGAAACCGGCAATGGCTAACCAGTCCCGATCGCTGAAAAAATTACTGTTGGAAAGTTCCGATCGTTGTAACTTTCAGCAGACCGTCTGAATTTTACGAGCCTGTTGTAATTGTAAGAGCCTGTTCAAGTTGTCCTCGTAAAGCCTATTGAAGAAGCATTCTTTGGACGCAGGCATTGCAAAGGAGAGAGCCAGGCACTCCCTGCTGGACAATACGTTTTGACAAAATGGTTTTGGAAAAAGGGAGAAAGCCCGATATGACTCCATGAAAGCCGTTTTACCTGGAGGTGCTGACCCCGTTTAATATACCGGGCAGACCCCGGTGATCTCTGACCCCATTAATTGTGGTGGTGGTTGGTTGGTTTTGGTTGGTTGGTTATCCTTAGGGTTAGAGTTTATCTAAAAACGAAGCCCCCTCTTGGGCCCCCACATTTCTTATACATTCTCTTTTATAGCAACGGATCCTGAATATTTTCCTCACATTTGCACACCTCTAAACTCCCGTATGCTACCATGCCACTTTCTCAGATGGAAAAAGCAAACGTCTCACATTGCACATCTCTAAACTCCCGTAAGCTACAACGCCTCTTTCTCAGTTGGAAAAATCTAACGTCTCACGTTGCACACCTCCAACCTCCCGTCAGCTCCACGCCTCTTTCTCAGACGGAAAAATCGAACTTGTCTCACGTTGCACACCTCTAACCTCCCGTAGCCCACGCCCTTTCTCAGAGGAAAAATCTAACGTCTCAGTGCACACCTCTAAACTCCCAAAGCTATTTCCACGCACTTTCTCAAGAGGAAAATCTAACGTCTCACGTATGCACACCTCTAAACACCGTAAGCTACCACACCAACTTTCTCAGATGTAAAAATCTAACTTCTCAATTGCACACCTCTAAACTCCCCTAAGCTCCACGCCATTCAATGGATCTACGTCTCCATGTTGCACACTTCTAAACCCCTTAAGCTATCCACGCCACTTCCTCAGACAGAAAAATCTAATGACACTAACCTTCATCCAAACTTCAACAATTTACTATGCCGGCCATCTTTTAAGTCAGCTCGCACGGTTATATCTATTACACTCCGGTGTCTTTTTGTGTGGTGGTGTGGTTGGTTGGTTGGTTATCCTTAGGGTTAAGATTATACTTCAACCCCCTCGTTCTCACGCGTTCTCATAATAATCATCGGTAGCAACGGATCCAATCTTTTTTCCTCATGATGCCCACTCTAAATCCCGTAAGCTACACGCACTTTCTCAGATGAAAAATCTAATGACTCAGTTGCACACCTCTAAACTCCCTGTAAGCTACCACGCACTTTTCAGATGGAAAAATCTAATGACTGCGCCTTGCACACCTCTAAACCCGTAAGCTACCATGCCTCTTTCTCAGATGGAAAAATCTTACGTCTCACGTTGCACACCTCTAAACTCCGGTAAGCTACCACGCCACTTTCTCAGACGGAAAAATCTACGTCTCACGTTGACACCTCTAAACTCCAGTAAGCTAACCACGCCGATTTTCTCAGAAAAAATTAGCACACCTCTAAACTCCCGTAAGCTACACGCCACTTTCTCAGACGGAAAAATCTAATGACACTACCTCAGCCAAACTTTAACAATATTATTATGCCGGCCATCTTTTAATCAGCTCGCCCGGTATATCTATTACACCTCCGGTGTCCTTTAAATCTACGTAGCACAGTACAAAACGCTGCTTAAACTCTAATGTCCAGCAGCCCAGCGGCGTTATTTAACGCTATCTGCGTTAATTAATGCCATATAAACTCCCTCGCTCTATCTATATTATACATTGCCAATAGCTTGATAAACTGCTGGCGTTATTTAACTATAGCTTTGGGTAGTACAATGTGCAGGCCAGGCCGCTTGAGTATGGCGCAACAGATGGAATGGAAGCTTGCTTTACTCGGCAAAATCTGATCGATCGGATTTTCATTTCTTTTCCACAGAAACGAAAAAGCATCACGATGGCGCTTTTCCACCACTCTTCCGCTACTTTGGCGCTATTATCTCGACAGCAACATGGCTAGTGTTGTCAGCGACACCCGGAAGGTTGTGGGTGGGGAGTGCTGGGCCCTGGCAAAGCATGTAACCCATGATGCAAAGCGACTTTTTGGATCTGCATGTGGCGACACTTGGATCAAAGGACTTGTGCAAGCTGTTGAGTTGAGGAAGAAGACACCGGATGCCAAGAGAGGAACCAACTATATCAAGGCACTGTACAAGCTTGGGTCCACGAAAGCCGTGGAGCAATGGATTTGTATGCAGAGTTTGAAGGCAAGCAACCCAAATCCAAGTGTTGATCCAATCGGAGCCATCGTGGAAAGCAGAGAACAAGCCGGCGGCCGACTCGAATCCTCCTCCAGTGAACCAACCAACCCTGAACAAGAACCTGAGACACCCAAAGCAACCAGCCATTGAACGGAGTTGAAGTTACACAGTGACGGATGGATCAGAAGAAGAAGGTTCTTCTCCTGAAAATCCGGAACAACAGCCCTCACCATCATCTGTCGGCACCGGAACACATCCACAGGACGGACACCTGTCGCATCAAGCCATGGATATGATTGGTACACAGACAAGCCCACGGACATTCCTTGCAATGGTCCAACGCCCTTTCGTTCTTGGAAGATGACTTGTCAGTTCACTTTGAGGGAGTACACTCCTGGCTGTGATGAGTACCGCCGCAACACAAGTTGAAGCACCCACCATATGACTTCTTCATGGCATGCTTCCCCAAGACGCAGATGGATTACATGATCCGTGAAACAAGCAAAGTGCTCAAGAAGGAGAAGAAGAAAGAGCTCACAATGGGGGAACTCCTCAAATACTTTGGCATCCTCTTGTTGATCACTCGCTTTGAATTTGGGGATCGCAAGACACTTTGGGCTACTCAGAGCAGCAGGAAGTACATGCCTGCACCCAACTTTGGCAAAACAGGAATGACTCGCAATCGATTTGAGGATCTCAATCGCTACATGGTCTGGAGTCATCAGCCGGAGGAAAAGCCTGATCATATGGGGTCGCAGGAGTACAGATGGATGCCAGTGCAAGGATTCGTTGACAGGTTCAATGAACACCGTCGCAAGTACTACGTTCCTTCTTGGATCCTCTGTGTCGATGAGTCAATGAGTCGATGGTATGGATTGGGTGGAAGCTGGATCAACATTGGATTACCTCACTACATTGCTCTTGATCGCAAGCCAGAAGATGGATGTGAGATTCAGAACTCTGCTGACGGAACAAATGGAATCATGCTACAGTTGAAGCTTGTCAAAGCAACAGACGATGATGCCGACACAAGGGAACACGATGCTCAAAAAGAAGACAACAATGGGTATGTTCCACGCTGACTGTCTCATGACTTTGTTGTTCAACTATTAACACTTGTCTTCTCCATCTAATCGTGCAGATTCTCCCATGGCTGCAATATCCTCTACGACTTGGTCAAGTACTGGTCTAACACTGACAGGACAGTTGTCGGCGACAGCTACTTTGCTTCTGTCCAAACAGCTGTTCGGCTCAAGAAGGCAGGCCTTCGCTTTATTGGAGTGGTCAAGACAGCTACCAAGGGGTATCCGATGAAATACCTTTCTACATTGCCCTTGTGAGTGGTCGTGGTGACCAGAAGGCAGTGACATCACGAGATGAAGAAACAGGAACTGACCTAATGGCATATGTGTGGGTTGACAGGGATCGTCGCTACTTTATCTCTACATGCAGCTCTACTGCTCCTGGTCCCCCATGTAATCGTTGGCGATGGCGACAGGTTGATTCTTGATATCAATGTACCGGCTGAAAGAGTTCAAGTGTCCATTCCACAGCCTGAAGCTTGTGACAAGTACTACTCTGCATGCGGCACCATTGACCAGCACAACAGGACCCGCCAACAGGCACTTCAAGTGGAAAAGAAGGTGCAAACGAAGAAGTGGTCGCGTCGTGTCAACATGTCCATCTTCTCAATGTGTGTTGTTGATTCCTATGAGCTTGCACGTGGTTGCCAGACAAACTTTGAATGGAATCCTCGCGACTTTGTGGAGATCCTTGCAGAGCAGCTCATTGACAACACCTATGAGGAAAGAGCTCTCAGAAAGAGGACAGAGAGAGAACATGCCAATGAGGAAGGTGTTGCCGGCATTGACTCACTTCCTTCCACTTACCACATGACAGGACCCACTCCCACGAAGAAGAAGAAGGCCAACAAGCCAACACACGCACTTCAGGGCAAGTGCATTGTATGCAAGAAGTCAGTAACAACTGTGTGCAGGACTTGCCGTGAAAAGGGAGGAAAGAAAGATGAGTGGATCTGCGACTCTTCCGGAAAGCTTTGCATGAGGCGACACATCCTCGAGCATCATGCTGACAAGAATGCCAAGCTCTGCAAGCCAACCCTGCTTTGGCGTTGAAGCGTCTGTTGGATAGAGGAAGCCATCCTCTTGTTTAGGTTGTTTGTATGGTAAGTGCGTTGCTCATGATCTATGTGACGAGTGATCTATATAGCAAGTGGACGTTGGTTTGTTTTCTCACTTGCTTGTTGTTTGAATTCGAAAAGTGAGAATCTGTGTAGGATTCTACTGGTTTGTGGTAGAGATGGTAGTCGTTGTAATTAAATAACGCAAGAATTTGAACCTTGATCCACTTTGGTCCGTAGAATTCTACTAGTTAATGGTAAGAGGTCACCTTTCTGAAGTGAATTAACGCAAATTGGGTGTTATCTAACGATTTTTGCCAGTCTGCTGGACACTAACGCTTTCGGAATCTCCCAGGATCTTTGGGGAAGGAAGATCCTTGCCGCATTCATTCATGCATCTGTTTCACTATGCAGTTTGGCTTGGTTGGATCTGTTCGAGGTGCCGTGTTGTGTTCAACCTGCAGCTGTGGCTCTGTGGAGTTGGTATCACGTTGTGTTCATAAAAACAAATCAAGAACAGCAACAACAACAACAACAAAATCAGCAACAACAACAACTCAGCAACAACAACAAAATCAACAACAGCAGCAAATCAATAATAACAAATCAGTCAATCAATCAACATGTCAAACCAAGCAGCAGCCATCAAGATTCTCAAGAGCACCACCTGGTTTTCCAAATGCAGCAATGAACTGATCACAGCATTGGCCGCCAAGCTGGAGCTACTGGATGTCGGCGAAGGTCATGTGTTTATCTCGGAAGGTCTTCCCATGGACAAGTCTATGATTCTCGAGTCGGGCAGTTTGTTCCGGACCAAGATGCACGTGGTCGATGATCTGGTGGAGGAAGAAGGGGGGCACAACAAGCGTAGAGCTTCCTTGAGCCAGTCTTTGCGGAACATGAAGGCGGCTGAAGTGAGCAGTACCATTCAAGAAAATGCCGTGGTGGTGGATATTGTGCAAGGTCATGGACATGTCACGGGACTGTTGCACATTTTCTCGGAGGATTCTTGTGCCTTTGCTACTGTTACCAGTAAAACACCCGCCAAAGTTTGGATCATGTCTGCCAAAGATTTCCGAGAGATTTTAAGTTCCAATCCAGCGTTTATGCTTGATATCATGGGAAACATGGCCACCGAACTACGAACAGGTGGCAAATCCTTGCGAGCTGTCATGAGTCAACTCCATAGCAAGGGTCTGGGAGGTGATGCTAAAGAGAATGAAAAAGAAACCTTGCGAGTACTGTGTTATGATACAACCTCATGGGTATCGGATGCCTTTCAGCCTGCTGTCAAGGCATTTAATGCAGATCCCAAAAATTCCTTTCAGATGATGGTGGACTTCACCACGGAACGATTGGGGCCACAGAGTGCGACCTACTCAGCAGGTAAGGCCAGGATGTTGACATTGTGTGCGTGTCACAAGGCCTTCATTATGTCAGCATGCCACTCACATTGCTTTTCCTTGCTGTAATAATCTCTCAGGATACGAAGCGATTTGCACCTTTGTCAATGACACTGCCGATGCTGGTACCATCCAAACTCTGAGTCGTTTGGGGGTGAATATGATTGCCCAACGAGCAGCTGGATTTGATCGTGTGGATACCAAAGCAGCACGTGCTTATGGTATGACAGTGGCCAGAGTCCCCGCCTACAGTCCCTATGCCGTGGCAGAGATGGCCATTGCATTGCTCATGGCAGTAAATCGCAAAACCACCAAAGCCAGCAGTCGAGTCAAAATGGCCAACTTTTCCCTGGATGCTGGTCTCCTTGGAGTTGATATTCATGGCAAGACCGTGGGTGTCATGGGCACTGGAAAGATTGGTCAAATTCTTTGCAACATCATATTGGGATTTGGAGCCAAACTTATCTGCTATGATGTCTTTCAAAATGAAGCAGTCAAGCAGGCGGGTGGTGTTTACGTGACAAAGGACGAAATTTTTGCCCAGAGCGACATCTTATTCTTTATGATGCCCCTGTTGCCGGCTACACGACATACTCTCAACATGGACACTTTGCCCAAACTGAAAAAGGGCGTGATGCTCATCAACACGTCACGTGGTGGTCTGGTCGATACCAAGGCATTGTTGCAGGGGCTGCGCACAGGTGTCATTTCTGGTTGTGGAATGGATGTCTATGAGAATGAGCAAGAATACTTCTTCCAAGATTGGTCTGCCAAGAGCATTCAAGATCCAGATTTAACCGCACTGTTGGGTGAACCCGGGGTGGTTATGACAGCCCACCAGGCCTTCTTCACCAAGGAAGCCGTCGACAAAATCACTCAGACGACTATGGAGAACCTGAGAGACTTCAAACTGGGAAAGTGTGAATTTGATCACCCCAACAACTGCATCCCCAAAGACGATTGATCGACATGATTTCCCAATAGATATCTTGCCGCCTTTCCTGCTCTTGAGACCACAATACAGTAGAGTGATTAATTTTTAAAAAGAGACCCATGCATGAAGGTGTTCAAAGTGTTTTCCACTTGGCAGGGGTACCGTACGATGTAAGGTCGTTGACTCAGGCTGCTTCTTCGGGTTCTGCTTTTGCTTTTGCTGAATTTTGTCTGGCAATGGAGTAGGAATTGTCATTATAGTAAGACGGGCTCCAAGGATTGGATGCAGACACATACCGTACATTGTAGTGGAGGGTTCAGGATGCCATTGATATAGCATGTAGCAGGTTTGTTGATCAAATATTCAAAGGCAGAGTCGAGTCTGGTAGGCGGACGACCACTGGACTCAACTGTGAATGGTTGTTGTCAGGGTTTCTTGGGCATTTGCGAGTGGAGACAATCGTCTTTCTACTCGGCTTTTGCGCTCAGAAAATCCTCCAGCTGTTTATTGAGGTTCATGCCCGTCCATGTCTTTTCATTGGGAGGGCCGTGACCACCCTTTTCGACCCAAATTATTTGAGTGGTAGCCAGAGTGCTCTCCACGGTCTCCTTGATTCCCTCCTGGTTGAGCTTGTCTCCCAGTGCCAATTTGTCCGATGTACCAATGACAAAACAGGCTCGAACATTTTCCGGCAACAGTTTGAGAGCTGCGGATCGATCTTGTTTGGCATGATCCAAAGGATATCCAAAAAAGACAACTTTTTGGATCTTGTGACGCAACTCTTGGTAATTGTCGGGTGTGGCATCGTCTGACCATGGCACTGGAATGGACGGATGCGTTCGAACTTCGTGATTGCCGCAGATCCAATGTACAATCGCCCGACACCCAAAGCTTTGTCCCACCAGCACAATTTCGTCGTCGTTGGACGATGCTGCCTCTTGCGCAATATGATCATTCACGATCTGCAAATTCTGGTTGAGAGATCCATTCGATCCAGCGACACAACCGTTTCTGCCATTATACCCTGTACTCTTGGGAATTACTGCCACTCGACCCATACGGCCCAGCTGAGCCTCCAGGGTGCCATCTTTCGGCAGCACGCCACCGGCTCCAGGGCACACGAGAAAAACGGTAGCCGACGTCTTTGTCTTTTTGGTCTTGCCTCCTCCAAAAAAGTCTGTCATCAGACGCTTCTTCTTATTGCCATTGTCGGACATCTTATCTTGCAAGTTTGCAGAGTGCGATACCTTCTTTTCGTGAGGTAAGTCAGTTACAGCAAGCAAATGTGGGCTGAATGCGGCAACAGAACAACAACAAAGAAAGAAGGGAGCTAATAAGTACAGGTATAAAGTCGGTTTTGGTCCATCGCTTTGAGACATCAGCGATACTATAGCAAAAACAGTACAATATCGGAAACCTTCTGTCTCACTCTCTATTTTCTGAGTTAACGGGACTCAATAATGGACCAAAATATTTAACTATCTCACAAAAAGTATAACGAAAATGAAATACACGGTTAACTTAGGGTATGTGATGTTAAATCATGTGGTCAGTATGGGTAACTTGCTATGAGTCAATGGTACTTGAGGTCGATTTCGTATTAATCTACTTATGGGTCAATCGGACATTGAGACAGTCATTTCCTTATAGACGGTTTTGGTCCATTTTTGGGCTGTAGGGCTGGTACACTTTCTACGTGTCTCACCCACTTCCTTTATTAAACTCGTACCGGTACCTGTATCCCTTTGGATCTTTTGGATTCGGGGAGACAGTGCGTCCAACGTTCAGTCCCTTCGCGCCCAAATCTTTCCCTAAGTATCCGAGTCACATATAAACGATTGTCACACACCTCTAAGTATCTTTGGACTGTTTGGCTTTCGGATCGGGCTTCCTCGGCAGGACAACAACTGGCAACGAATTGTCACAAATTGCTCGTGTTTATCGCCTTCCCACATGCACCATTTGGCAAACGATCCAACAAAGTCCATGTGCTTGCCCTCATAATACTGCTTGTCATCACCATTGCAAACGCTACGAAACATTATCATGCTGTACTCACCGGGTCAAACTACAGAAGACTGTCGCCGAAGGGTAGATCATCACCATCAGAACCAACACACCATGAGCGTTTTTATGGTTGACAAAGAAATCGTAACATGTCCCGAAAGACCGAGAGCCATGTTCAAGATGGGGCTCTCCATGGCCTTTCTCTTATTCTGTGCCAACATGTTGCTGCTCCTGGTTCTGATTCAACGAGACTTTATGTCCCCACCGGCTCGAGTCGCTATGGCCGTGGATCCGCCCCTGGAAGACATCACCACAAACACGGGGCAACCCACCGCGCCCGAATCCTCTCGTTTGCCACGACGACTTCCGCGTGACTTTCGCATGGCTCGACCCGAAGAATGCCCCGCAGCGATGCACAAACTCACCAATTATGCTCCCGCTTCCATGAAATCCAAAATCCCCTACAGTCGTCAAAAGAAATTCGTCTTGGGCGGCTATCAGCAAATTGACAAGGGCAGTGGCGATTACAAACTCGTCGCACCCCTTGTCGCCAAACTCTCCAAACTTCAACACGAACAAGGCATTTTTGGAACCGTCGGAGAACTGGGGGTTCATCACGGTCGGTTCACCGGGGCACTCTACATGACAGCACGAGAAACCGAAAAACTCATTGCCGCCGATTTGTTTGAAGATTTGCAATATCAAAATGTGGACGTGAGTGGATATGGCAATCGACAAGCCTTTCGACAAGGACTCGAGTCGTACGGGCTCAACGAAACCACCGATTTGCATCTCGTGCACACCGGTACCACCGAAGACTTGCCCTTTGACTGGCATGTTCAGTCGGACTTTGAACCCTTTCGACTCATTAGTGTCGATGCCGGTCATACCGCCGGATTGACCTTTAATGATCTCGAAATTGCCTTTTGCAATTCCGTGCCCGGCTCTATTGTCATTCTCGATGACTTTTTTCACAATCTATGGCCCGGTGTCACGGAAGGATTCTTCCAATTCGCCAGCATGGGACCCATTGACAATGGTGTCTACCCCTTTCTGAGGTGCGAAGGCAAGGCGTTTGTCACCAACGACAAGGCACTCCACAAACATTATTACAAAATGCTACGATCCGAACCCAAATTCAAACTCTTTCTCAATGCATATGCCCATCAAGTACGCGGATCCAAGGTCAAGTACATGATGAACGGAGTCGAATATCTCAAGTGCAGTTCGGACAAACTCAAACGAGACACGATGCATCTCTTGTGGAATAGTTTGGTGTATTAATACAAAAAGAAAGAAGGAGCAAGTAATAGTCACAACCAAACAAACGGGTGAGGTCAATCTTTACCAACAGACACCACCTTGTATCAGTATCTTCCAGTTTCATTCATTCAACTTCCATGTCATGAAACCACGTACATTACATATCAGAATTACATAAACCAGCACGAGGCCAGGCATTGTCGCTTGCGAGGACCTGGGAGAGACGTCAACCATCCCATTCCTCGTAGCTTTTCTTCCAACAAGTAGTGCAGCCCGGACTAAACTAAACAAACTAGAACAAAATGAATTACAATACATTTCTAGCTAGTAGGCAGAATCACGGGCGACCTGTATAGCGGTGCAACACGACTAGATGGACATCATCTTCCATCAAAGGTCAATTGATCGACTGTGTTGCACCGTTCCAAAGAACAAGTATACTTGACTGCAGGTAGTAGGGGAATCCTACTCCTCTGATGGCTAGTTGCAAAGACAATCACACCCGCACAATTGGGCCGAACAGTCAAACTTTGCAACGGGAAGAACACCCCCCACCTTTGCGCACAGTGCCTCGGGTATTGTTCCATTGATGCCGGTCCTAGTGACTTTGAAATTTGTCAAGTTTGCAAGCTGTCCCAATGTGCTTGGCACTGGTCCCACAATACCTTCATTTCCATAAAGAACTATATGCTGTAGTTTTGTCAAGTGTCCCCATTCAGCTGGAATAGTGCCTGAAAAACCCTGGTTATCAAGATGAATTGCACCCAAGCTTGAGCAGTTGGCAAATGTAGGCAATGGGCCTTCCATCTTGTTTCGTCCCAACGTGACAGCTTGCAGATTGGGCCAACTTTGGCAGACCAAATCTGGAGACAAGAATGTCCCAGTCAGGTCATTGCGGTCAGCAAAGAGGTCCGCCAGGTTGGACATTTGAAGTAGTTCTGTTGGGAGTGTTCCATGGAGCTGATTGTTCAGAACATTCAACCATACGACGTTTGTCAGCAAGCCAAGCTCACTGGGCAGTGTTCCAGTGAGTTGATTTTCTGCCAGCTCAATGCTTTGGAGCTGTCGCATCCCCCCAATGGAGGTTGGAATGTGTCCCTGAATGTGTTTGTTTCGATAAAGATGAATACTTTGGATACCAGTCAAGAGACCAACCTCTTCGGGTAACCTCCCTGCAAGACCATTTTGCTGCAGGTCAAGGTATTGAAACACATTTTCGTCATTGCAAGCTGTTTGGAATCGAAAGGGGGTGTACGTAAACCAGAAGCATTCAGAGGTGTTGTAAGAAAGCCATTTTTCAGACTGGACAGTCAATGTGATGTAGTGTGGGTCTTGCAACTCTCTTCGTAGGTGCCGCGTAGAGTTTCCTCCAATGTTTGATTCAACTGGAGGTATCAGATCACTGGATGATGCCACACTTGGTGGTCCACCACCAGCACCATTCGGAGGAGACCCACCATGAGGGGGGCCACCACCAGAACCACCCGGAGGGGGGGCGCCACCAACACCCATAGGAGGAGGCCCGCTGCCCGGAGGGGGCTGCCACCAGCACCATTTGGAGGAGGACCACCACCTGGAGGAGAAGGACCACCACCAGCATTGGGAGGAGGACCACCACCTGGGGGGGGCGCCACCACCACCATTTTCATGTGGAGGTGGTTTAGGTAGAGAAAATGCGAGCATACCTTCAACTCGAGGTGTACCGAATTCCCGATGTTCTACTTCTTGCATACCTCCAACTCCATTATTCTTCCAATTTTCACCATTGGTAGCATAATACAGAGTGACCAATGCAAATCGCTGTACAAGGCGAGCAGCGGTATAGTTTTTCTTCCAAGGATCTGCTTGGAGCCATTGATATGCTCGGTACTGGGGACTCGAGGCCGAAGAAGCATTGGCGCCGACAGCCAGCTCTCGTTCAATGGCATGGCGTGTGACATTGGGCAAATAGGGCCTGATGAGTGGATATACGGCATAGTCATTACTGCCAACTGTACCGATAGGCACTGTTCCATTATTAGTGGATTTGGCCTGTGCATAAGTGGCAACTTCATTGTCGTCCGACGCGCCAGCGGCAACAACGACCACCACAACGACAACAACCACAAGTAATGCGGTCAATAGAGACAGCAGCAAGAGCTGAATCTTTGTTCTGGCTTCGTACTCGTTCTTCTTCATCCTTCGGTTTTGTGCTTCCAGATCATCAATATGCGTGGCCTCTTGTGTCACGACAAATTCAGTAGAAGATTCTTCCACCGCAGTAGCTTGTACCAGGTTTCCCGACTGACTCGGACTGGTGTGAATCCTAAAACCATTAATTTCATCAGAAGCAAAGGGATGTGGGTTGCTTTCACCACCACCTGATTCTTGAGAATACTCACTGAAGAGAGTCGAGAAATCACCGCCAGGTCCTCGATATGCCGGACCTCGATAAGGAATTGCGCCTGGTGTTGCTTCTGCTTGGGTATTTGTGTTCTCGGTCCCGTCATCTGTCGGACTATTCATAAACTGGATGAATTCATCGACGTCGATTTCGTTGTTGGGCAACACATTGTTTGGTGGATACAGGTCAATCTGCAGAGAAGGAGCACCAAAGACCGAGTATTGAATGGTACCAGTATGCTGCAACCCTTCTCCTGATGTTCCCTTGTATGCTCCTGGTCGAGGTAGAAGTGTGCCCCTTTGGAACTTCAATATTCCTGTTACTTGCTGCCGTGCTGTGGTATTCTGAGAGTTGTCTACAGCACCAGTGGGCCTGCTGTTTCTAAACTTTTTCAATTTGGCCTCCTCATTGATTTCTGTTGCCATTTGCATGAGATTATGGCCACTATCAGCAGTCCTGTTACGGCTAAACTTTTCCAACTTGGCTTCCTCATTGATTTTAGTTGCCATTTGCAACAGGGCGTTCTCAGTTGGGTTCACATGTCCTTCTGAGAGCTCTACAGCTGCAACACTGGCTCCTTCTGCCAAATTTTCCTCCGCACTATCTTGCTGCTGAATGCTACCGGTGGGTTGCTCTGACTTGTGCTTGCCCATAACCACATCATCAATATCGACAACCTTTTGCGTCGCGTCCTCGCCCCGTTCGCTCAATGGAATGATCACCGCTCGCTCAGCTAAGTATTCAGCGGTTTCTGAACTGGCTCGTTCTGCCGCCACTTCCATGATTCCTTCTTCCGCTTGCTTGTCCTTTTCCATTCTTTCTTTTTGCATTGGTTGTGCTAGTTTGGTCTTGCCCTCGTGTTCATAATATGCCTGCCGTAGCTCTTGTAAGGACTAATCGCCGCAAACCTCACAGACTCAAAGTGATACCAAATCACGCAAACCAAAGAAGAAATAGGCTTTTTTTGGTCTACTGCTGCATGTATGTACCGGTACCGGTACGTTTTTTAAGTCTGGTAGTACAGTTAACGCTCGCTTATATTTATAATCTTATATTTATTCGCTCTATAATATTTATTATATCTCGAGTTCCCCCCCCAGTCACGAGTGACCGTGAATGACGTCAGTACACCCTTCGCAAATCTCGTAGCAGCAAAACAATCGCTCGCAATCCATCGCAAACGGTCCAATTCGACAGAGACATACGTGTAAATGCCAATGCATGCCAATGCATGCCGATGAGGTGCCGATGGGAGTTCGCTTGCCTGTCCATTCTCTGCCAGTCCGCGCAAATCTTCGTTCGTGGGGTTTTTCATGGTGTTTTCGCGAGATTGCGCAGAATGACAGAGAGGAGACAAAAACAATTCTCTGAGCAACAAAACAAGTGCAAGCAAACCATAACAATTCCTCCAATCCGACCTAGACCAACATGAACGGTTTGCCAGAGCCTTGAATATGGCCAGGGCGACAAGGGCTGGCAAACGCAAACGTGATGGCACTCTCCACTTGTTCTTTACTAGTGGTTAGTAGCAGTAACGCTCTATATTTAGACACACTGTTATATTTACTGGATTCCTGAATCCCCCCCTGTATATATATCTGAATGTTGACTGTACATGTACCTTGTGGCGAAGCCACGAGAGATAGATATGAGTGTGATTGATCGAATCGAATCGAATCGGGGGCGAGTCGTGAGTAGAGACGAGCGGGCAGGGATGAAAGGTGCGTGAACCGGTACCAGTATGCTGTACCAGTACCAGGTGCGTGAACCGGTACGCTGTAACTAGACTACTGCAAGGTCGGAATTGGTCTGATTTCAATCGTTTGGATGGTTAGTTTTACGGAAATGAGATTTCTGTAAATTACGGAAACCAGGACAGTTTTGTAAATTACGGAAACGTTTCCGTAAAAATCTAGTTTTACAGAAATTTCCGTAAAACTAATAGTTTTATGGTTTCAGTAGTGTTTACAGTAGCGTTCTATGAGGGTTTTTGACATAGTTCTATGGAAATACTTTTATGAGTTTTAGTTTTACAGAACGTTTCCGTAGAACTAACAGTTTTACGGAAATTAAAAATTTACGGAAGTCACATTTCGGTAAAACTGAAATCCGAATTACGGAAATATTCATTCAGTCATGTTTCAGAGAGAGATTCAGGACCTTGCCGTTCTCGCACATCGTACTAGTACCATTCATGATGATGGACAGGCCCTAGAGGGGTCTCACAATAGCAACTCGTGGCTTTATCCAAGGCAGAAAGGCTCAAAATCGACCAAAAAGACAGCCCATGTACGCTAATCTTTTGTCACTCCCCCGGCCACCAAATGAACAAGCCACTACCACCACTGTGACGGGAACGTCCAAATTATGTACTGGTATTCCCTATCTCAGAGTATTGTCAGGTTGACTCTATTGGTTAAACTGCTAAGCGTATACCTGTCAGCACAAGCTGATGCCTTTGAGAGTGAGTTGCCAAAAAAATGGAATCTGGAGATTTGACGCCAAAGGGTGGCTCGGATGCTCCGATAGCCAGGTTCTGCTGATGATTAATGACTGCACAGAGTTCTGAGCGGTTCCAACCAGATTTACCCCATTCACACAAAGCTTTTTGGGTTTTTTCAGTGGTGGTTCTTTTACAGTGGTGATTCGAGGCGTAGCTTGGGACATGTGTCATCATGTAAGGCTAGGCAAATATGATGGGAGGTCATTTTTCTGTCGGTCGTCAGTTTTCTACAGGATAGCGAAGTCAAGATAAACGCGAAAGAAGTTAGACACACATCAAAGACACCGTTCATGGCAACAATGGCATGTCATTGTCTCTATTACCTTACATTAGACTGCCTCGTAATAACAGCATTATCTAGCTAGCTTCCACTGTGGCGGCAGTGACCAATTTAGACGCTTCTTCCGCTGACGCCTTAGTCTTTGTACGTGCTGCACTTGCAGCCGGTGCCGTTTCTGAGCTTGAACTAACCTTATTGCGACGTTCAAGGCTGGGATCCTATTTAAACCACTTGATAGTTCTGCTTTCTGGTGGAATCAATGGCCTCCATTTGTCATATAATTCCACCCTCTTGATGTCGGCAATTCCAGCCGGGGTATAATAGCTGAGAACAGTCCTGAGCACCTTCGAAACCAACCGGTTCTTTGAAGCAAGTCCAATCCCCATCCTTTAGAGCCTTTTCGCCCATTCTTTGGACGATGCTTCAACTTTGTCAGCAACTGAGGATCTTCTCTGGTACCATCAAACTTTCTCACAGGCATATGGTGCATGCTTCTTGTTCCATCAACTTCGAAGCAATGATGGTTCTCTGACACCAGTTTCACCGGTGCCCAATACTGGTTCAAGTAAGCATCCCAGTCGTAGAAGTCTCTATCCTTGCACACACGGACTAGAGTGATGCCATCCCTTCTCGTTGTTTCAATGAACTCCTTTGGAGTAAAGACGTTTGACTGGAAATAATAAGCAGTGAGAAGTAATCATTTCAGGTTTTTAGGAGAAGACAAACCATGGCCACCTTACGCTTCTGCAATACACGGCTCTTAGCCTTATTCGCGACTCGATCCTAGATAGGGTTTGAGTTCGACTCATGACTGAGTCTTTCGTGAATAGTCATTGAGACAGGGTTCTCATGACCGCTAGTCATACTAGGTCGATGGTGAAACATCGCGCTAGATATTTAGCTGGCGTGGAGAGATTCCACGCTACTAGATAAATGCTAGACAAATCTTCCACGCGTTCCGTTTTTGGATCGTGGAGTGAGTAGGATTGCTACCGCAACCTACTCTATCACACTCTACAGTCTCCCGCGGGAGTTCAGATCTACGATCCTTTGATTGTGGATCTCTCTCGTTGATTAGTTTTCATAGCTTTCTAATCCTCTCATAACTTTCATTCTCTCAAACTCAAAACACTCGAAAGATCTTTACACTAGCTTTTAGCGTAGTGCATTTTGTTAACAAACACAATAGCTTTCAGCTACCCTCAACCTATTCCTCACTGAAGATTGCCAAAGACGCGTACACCAGCTTCGAGTCTAAGCTGCGCGACAAACCAATCCTTCCTCTCATCGACCGCGACGATGAATGCGAAATCGACGATTCTCGCTCCACCACCTACAAACTTCGCACTGTTCCAGCAGATGCTGACAGCGCCAAGTACACCTTCAAGGTCCAAATCATCAATGGATCTGAGACTCCACGTCAGACCATCAAGTGGGCTGGACGTATGGAGAAGGTCTTCGTCGGGCTCGCCATTGCTACGCCTGGCGACAAACATAACCTCCTCAAGGAGATGACTTCTAGCTCTGCCAAGAGCAGTTACGAATCTAGCTGTGCAGGCCATCGTG